AGAAACAAGTGCCACGCTACTAGTAACAAGTGCCTTACTAGTAGTAAGAAGAAGCTATTAGAAACAAGTGCCACGCTAGTAGTAACAAGGCTTTCACAAAACAATTAAACAAAACTCACAGCACACGGATCCCTTCCGCTCGCCTTGTCGAGCTGCCTCATTGACGGCACAGGCACCCTGATCTTGCGGGTGAGGAGGTTGACAGATGCAGCCTGCTGTGCTGGACAAATCTGACACACTGCACTGTACTGTCCACGTTTTTTGCTGTTTAAGCACCTCGAACCAAACCCACAGCATGTGCAACTGACTCACACAGGTGCCTGAGCCCTGAAAGATGCATGAAGGGCCATGAAGATTGCAAGTCCCATGAAGCCTTGGATTTGTGTGAACCTTTGTCAGCGTTTTCCACAAGAAAACTAAGCAGGGCGCACTCTGATAGAAATTGGGAATCATGTGCTTGTTCCCCCCTGTCGCTACAACTCCAGATCTAGAAAAGGGACAGAGTTCAAAGCGTTTACTATTGATTTTTCAGCGATGGCAACCTGGAATCGAATCAAAGTGAACTCACAAACCATGCTCCAAGAAAGCATGCCGAATGCCCAATCAAGAACCCGAATCCTTTGAGTCATGCAGCTGAAGGAGGCAGCATTGTTCGTGAGCCAAAGCCTCAAACGGACTTGAGCACCATCACTAGCGCACGATGTGCTTCAATGTGCTTAGGACATGAGAACTATTGGGAACAAGAGAATACAAAAGCCAGAGGTTTACTGTAAGCGTCCGTTGCCCCTTGCCACTTGGTGACAATCTACTTTGCTTTGCAATGTTTCTCTGCGCTGGATATGGTTCTCTTTTATTGGAATGTTTCTAAACCACATCCGCCTCTCACTTGCAACATATCTGAGACCCGCGGTAGCAATTACAGAAGAGTTTCACCACTGAGAAGCGGACCCCATGATCCAACCCGGCGGAGAAGGACCGTGGAGACCCAAACGACCAGCACCTCAAGACACGAAGACGGGACTTTCATCGGACTCTTAACTGGTTCAATGCCTTCAGCGCGTTGAGCTCCCAGGCAGTACAAGGCAACGCACAAGGCCATATCCAAGGCGGCCAGACCCTGAAATCTGTTGCTTGGAATCGTTCTTTGACAGCATTATTAAAGCAGCATCCACGTTCCCGGTTGTTTAAGTCACGAAACTGAATGAATAGTGCCGTAAGCTCTGACACTCTAACCCCTTCACAAGTTCACACTAAATGTGCTGACTTCAAAACAACAAAAACTTACAAAGCGTTCTCATGGAGGTCAATCTTCAAGTCAACCCCTGCTTAAAATCCTTCTGATTGGCCCAGCTGGGGCAGCACCAAGCGTGGCAGAATGACCGCATACTGGTTGTTCTTCACCATGGTCAGTGCAGAAAGAGTTCTCAAGTCATTTCGGTACCTGAGCATGTTGTTGGACGAACCAGGTTGCAAAAGTGTGGAACTTTGATCTTGCTAACGTAGGTCTCTTGCGTACGCAAAACCAAGTTTACCTGGGCAGCTTGGGGGGTCCTGCTGATTCTGCTGGTCGCAGGCGTACTCTCGGCCTTGTGTGAACCTGAAGATCCACATCTCAAGAATTCTTGGTCTCTTCAAAAAGACCTTCACTGACCTCCCACCTTGTCCTTGCAGTAGCCACTTTGGGACCATTTGACCCAATAGAGTAACTTGTGGAAACACAATGATCCCAGGAAGGACATCGAAGCATATAGCCTTACTTAGCACATAAACTTGTAAAAGAGAGGTCAAGTTGCAGCGACAAGGCCAACAAGGTCTTTCCATGGTTTTAGTTGCTACTTGCTCCAAGTATATAGCGATGCCAGGAGCCCCTAGTAGCTACTTGTTCCTAGAAAATAGAACCCGCATGAACCCGCAACTTGCCTTTTTGCCAAGCGCTAGCGAACCCTGTCGATCTGTGCAACGTTGACAAGCCTCTCGTATCGAAACTCGGCATCGTAGAGGTAGTTGGCACCTTGCCAAGGCAAATTGCTAATTGACGGAAAGTCTCGACGAGCACAATGTTGTGTTCTCATGGAAGGTCCTTGCTGATATCCGGCTTGTTAAACAGTGTGTGAGACAAGGAGAAGATTAAAATAGTTAAAGTGAAACGACCAAGAACTCTACACAATGCATCCTTCTGAATACATTTTTGAGGCTCAAACGATTGTAGTTGAAGAGGCCGAAACCCACCGCAGCCGTGGAAGCGGCTGCCACACCTGCTTCAGTGGCCATGGCCGCCATCGCACCTGTCAAGATTATCAGCAACTCCATCAACCGATGACGCACATTCCACAATGCACATCTGCCACTAGGTTCTGCAACCCCTTGGCAATAAACTCAGTTCCACACACCAAATCCACAAGCACCCCGTGTGCCAGCCACGATCGAAAACGAAAGCGGCTGCGGTCAACTAACTCAATGATCACAAAAAATGCGCACATCTATTCAGCGAAATCAAAATCAAAAGCACTTATGTTTTGTTCGTTCCACAGTCACTGCCAAAAGGAACTCCATGGTGACAACACTCCACAAGTGAGTTCAAAGTTCAAAATCACTGCTCCTGCAACACTCCGTGGTCCCCATGGCCTCCATGGTCCCCATGGTCCCCATGGTTCATGGCATGCCTATTTTTACAGAAAAGGACGTTGTACGGGTGTATTTTCCAGGTGTTTTCGAAACAGAAGGGGTGGCCATGGGGCCTGGGTTTTTGGTTTTCTGTATTTGTAGATAACTTTTCACAAATACAATCAAAACATATCACCAAAAAAAATACAATCAAAACCACAAAAACACTGAATACCTTGCAGTAGAAAACAATAAGTTAAAAAAATGATAACACCAATAATTCAATAACAACCTAGGAAAAAGAAAAAATGGAAAACCAAAAAAACAAGTCTCAGAGACTCTTGGCTGGACCCCCCCCTTTCCTCAAGACTTCCCCAAAATTGTTGTTTTTGTTTTTTGTTTTCCCACGCTTTTGGTTTTTCCTAGGTTGTTATTGGCTTTGTCAAGGTTTGTTGTTTGTTTTCCTATTTAGGTCAATCTGTGTTCTTACTATTTCGTTCAACCTTCAAGTATGTGAGCCGAAGTCTCACCTAAAGGCATATGTTCTTTGATCTTACAATGAAAGCGTCTGAGCCCAACACTCCCTTTGTCCTTGTCGAAATCTCCATGCACAAGTCTGTGCATTAACTTCTGATTGGTATCAATGTGGTTGCCAATTGCATGTCCAACCAGCTTGACATGAAACTGTAATGACACCTTCCAATTTACATGAAATTGTTATGAATCTGTGTAAACTGTAGTTCTGATTCAATGCTTGTTGCTTTTGCTTCGGCTTTGTAGTTTCGAAGCCTCCTCGACTTGTGCATCTTGTAGCTCAAGCGTTTTACATCTTATTTTGGCGAACTTCTAATTTTTATTACAAGTCCTTTCTAATTCAAGTCTCATCTAATTAAAATAGGTTATAGTTATAATTCAATACAAGTTTAGTTGAAATTCGGTTTTAATTCAGTTCTATCTTAGTTCTAACTTAAATCAAATTTAATTCCACCTAAATTGTTCTAGCTCTGGTCTATTTAGTTTAAAAAAGCACATGCTACAAAACCCCGTGTTTTACAGTTCTTTTTTGCCCTGGGAGTGCTGGGAACAAGACTATAACTCTTTTTTGGAGTAAATAGTTAGATTTTGTTTTTTACAGTAATCACTGGAAATAATGTAGACACGATTAAAAATGTTTTATGTACAAGCTTCTAATTCAAGAGTTTCCCTCTAGATCTTTGGGGATGATCATTTTTACAATAAAAGATATATTATAAAAAATCATTTCAAAAACTTTCCTATGCATCTCTGGAAATGGTCATGTCAATTTAAACATGCTATATATCAATAAATAAGTTTTTTTTCAAGAGCTTTCATTTCATGAAAACACACATATATGGGATATCTACTTTCCCAGAGATCCAAAGGAAAACTTTGAAAATGCAAGCTCTTACCCGCAGAAATCTAGAAGAAAACTTTTAACATACAAGGTTTCTATATAGTTGCTCAAATCTAAAACTGATTGTCTGCAAAGATCGACAGAGGATCTTTTAAACATAAAAGCGTCTGTGCAAAATCTTTCCAAATTTAAACATAAATAAAAAACAGAGATGTAGAGACACTTTTATGGCCTGCTTCTTTCCTGATTAGCTTCCAAACCAATGAAATGACCCTGATTAGTGCACAATATATTTGTTCATATGGAGAGAGCAGAGGCAGCATACATGTGTTTATATGGAGAGGGGCTACCACTGAAGCATTCCCCTGAAAACCAAAGCCAGGTCCCATTGCCACCCCGCTTCCTTCGACCGGTTTTGAACTTTGCACGTTGAAAGTGTTCAGTTGAGGACGAGACAAGACCTTTTTGGTGGGTGTTTTTTGCACGAGTCGAGCCGCCATCCACGCAGGAAGTGCACAGGTTCAGCTTGCGCTGCATTTGGAAGATCCTCAGGCGAGACATGTGATTGTCCAGTGCTGTGGAAAACACATCAAGAAGAAAGAAAGAAAGAAAGGTGACAGTGCGGATGTGCAGGCGTCACGCAGATCTGCATGTTTTTCCACAGGTGGAGACGCCATGAGTGCAGAGGTTGCACAGGCCATCTTATGCTGGTGAAGAAACAAACCCAAAAATTATTGCGGTGCAACTTTTGCACGGATGAGTTCTCTCGCGGCTGCTCAGGCGCCCCTCCCTGCAGCAGAGTTTGGCCTGTTTGCGACAGTGGAAATCGTCTGCAAGTCTGCAACGCCGGGGCATCAATCGTGTGTCGTTTTGTGGTTCATGACGCATTTTTTTTTTTCACGAGTGCGGACGCCATGTGGGCGGTGTGCCCAGGTCATCGTAGAAGTATAGGAAACACTGCATGTTGAAGGGAAGAAAGAACAAAGGAGGACAGGAAAAAGCAAACACAAAACCCCAAAAAACCCCAAACACAGAACCAAAACCAACAGCGCCATACAGACCCCCGTCCAATGTAGGCAGTGTTTCCTCTGTACTAAGGTGAAAACGGTGAAAATCGACAAACTGCGTGTGATCTACGGGCCTGAATTCACCACGGAAAGCGACATATTTCTGAATGCAGGTGAATGCTCAGTTCGGCCAATCAAAGGTCTGGACTGCACCGCACTTCGAAGGCTTGTTAAACTCCCAGGCCAACATGAGTGGAG